ACAACTGTGTTATGTGTGTTTCTTGCCCCCAAGAATTTTATTTCCTTGCCAAAAACCTTAATTAGTGACAATGAAAACTTTAATGGAGTGCTAAATAATAGCATATTTTCTCGTTTGTCCTCTGGCCGTTTAATGTTCGGAGTAATAACAATATGTTTTCAAACTTGTACTGGGCTTGTTTCAACTTTTTTTCCTTCCCTCCAATCCATTCTCCCTCCCTATCTCTCTCTAGCATTTTTAGCTCAAATCTTGTTCCAACTGCTTTTTTAGTCTTATTCATTTCTGGCCATTCTTTCGTTAGTTAAATGCCACTTCAAAAGTTTTACCGGATATTTTTCAAGATTTTTTTTTTCTTCTTCTTCTTTTCACTTGTGTTTTTTTACGATTACTTTTATCCGGTTGCATACATAAGCAATGTGCTTTCAATTTTCCTTTGTTTTAGTGAATATTGCCCAGTTTGCAATGTAATGCATTGTTTTTTTTGCCATTTACTTAAAGAAATAAGTGTAACATTTATACATCTTCATTTTTCGATGAGTTCTTTCTTAAAATTGTATGTGTGTTTTAAGAGAAAAAAAAATTCCTGTGAAATTCTGGCCTTTTGAGGTGATATTTTTTAGTTTTTTTTTTCGTTAATAGTATTTTTGTAGCTCTCATAAGGAATATCGAAGCTTTTAAAATTCTTAAAGAAAAATAATCTTCTTCGAGTACTTGTTCGTATTTTCAAGTGAATGTAGACAGTAAACGATGAAATATCGAAATTGAAATGGGAGCCTCTTACGTTTTTTTTTATCTTTCTTCACTCAAATGATGAAAACATATCTATTGAGAGATGATTTATTTCAAGAACGACGAATCTTCTTACCAATAAAACGAAGTATGCCAAAAATATGTAAATTCAACATTTACAACAACAACAAAAGATTCAGAAGAAAGATGAGGAAAATTCAAAGATAAAAAAATCGAAAAGATGACTCAGAAAGGTTCTTTTTTGTCAAAAACTCTTAACAAAAATGATTTTGCATCAGCTATAAGCTTCTCTTCAATACCAATTATTGAAGATTTCATTTTTTCTGATGCATATGTATGAAAAGGTCTCGTTCGGTTGGTTGCGCACAATTTCATCAAATTCAAAGAACAGCCACATCGATAGGGCGGTTTTATTTTTAAAAAAAGAAGGTTTTCGAGTATAATTTGTTTTGGAAAATGTTTTGCGATCAGTCGGAATGAACTGAGAGTCATATTTGCACTTTTTCTTCAGGTTGTTTTTTTCGTTGCCACAAAAAAATGAAAATATTTTTCGCGAGGTATTTTTTGTAATGTAATAAAACAAAGGAAAAAAACATCAACCTGGACATGAACGTATTCATCTGTCACATGTGCATTAATTTTCGTTTTCTCTTGGGATGGAGCGCAAACATAAAAAAGAATTTTTTTATTTACTTGACAAATATTATTTCTGACTAAAAAATGCCATTTACACCATACATTCAGTATGAATACTATGAATATCAATGTTATTTTTATTTGTGTGTTAATATTTATATTTAAAATGCGAAATATCGTTGCTGCTGAAAATAATCTCATTGTATATTGGTTGTTTTTAATTTAAATTTTGTTCTCATTTTATTTCGTAGATTCATGGAAGAATTTGCTTATTCGCTTATTCAATATTCCCGCAATGCTCATAAAGAGCAAACGGGGACGTTTGTGCTTTTTTACTTCCGACTTTTGCTACGATGCTATTTAATTCGTTCAATAAATAATTCAATTATAAAAGAATTTAACATATTTAAGACTTGTGAACACATTATTATTAGTTTTTAGAACCGACAAACGTAAATAAAAACGCAATACGGAGTGGAAAAAAAATCAAACTAAGAGAGAAAACGAATTGAAAATGCGTGGGACTCGTGAGAAGCGGCCACAAACAATAAGAATGCATTGATGATGATGATGGGATGTGAATCATGTTGACGATGGAATGAGAAAGAGAGAGATTATCATCGTGATATGGCGCATTTAGCCTTGGTGGCTGCCATACTGATGTGAGAGCAATACCAAACTGATCCAAATAAAGAATGGAAAGGCATTTGAATGGGTAAGAGCAAGAGTGTGTGAGAGAGAGAGGGAGAGAGTAAATACGAAGAAAATAAAAATCCAGAAAAAGAAAGTGAGAGAGGTGGGAGGAGGTAGAAGGAGAGAAACATAACTGACATGGTAGTTTGGGGTGCGTTAAAGAATTTGCATTGGAATGAAAAGTATTTTTCATCAAGTTTGCAATATTTCAAAGCAAATTACCTGCTTATTCTTATAAATTACGTAATATATTCGCAGTGAATTTCGCATTTATATGATATATGCAACATTCCTTTAGTGGCTCACAAGCCAACAGGAGCGCAACTGAGACATCATCCGAAGCGAAACGAAACAAAAATAAAATAAGCCATATTATAATGCCAGACTAATGGTAGCAAAAGAACGCCGTTCAAAATTAAAAACGAGACACATGCACACAGCAAATGTTAGATGAAGGCAGATGGAGAGAAACGAAGACGAACAAGTTGAATCCTGTAAGAAGGAAGAATTGAAAGAACAACCATCGGCGAAATACAAAATAGAGTGAGATATGCGTCATTTTTTTGTTGCTTTCTTCTTCTTCTACTCTTTTCGTTGTTCACTTTCTGCAACGCTTTTTTACGCTCTCGCCCTATTGTACTTTTTATACATACACGTATACTTTATGTTCACTTTTTATTTTGTTGTGTTCGTGTTTTTTTGGTACTTTGTTCAGTGTTTTTTTTCAATGTTGTTGTTGTTGTCATTATTTTTTTCGGAGCCCATACCATCCAAAATAAGTCTTTGCTCGCCGCTTTTTTTTATTTCTTCAATTTTTATTTTTGTTCAGTGAAAAATATTTGTGTAATGTAATAAACAGAATTTATGAACTATACTTTTTTGAGGGCCGCATAGAGAGAATATGGGATTGGACGAAATCATATCGTTCAGCGACTACATCGAGAGATGCGTTTAAATTGTTGTGTCGGGTGTTATAGGCATTTGACAACTACTCTCTCTCATTCCCACTTCTTCCTTTCTCTCTCTTTGTCATCGCTGAAAATTCCAAATACCGTGCTATATGAGCTTGTGCAATTTGATGAATCACAAGAGTTCGTTGTTCGAAAGATTCCTTAATACTTTTGTGTTGATGGTCTAACGCTAAGTATTTCAAAATCATCAACAGTATGCCTGCTGCAGAAAGCATTGATGTCAAAAGTCATCAAAGAAGCAAACGACGATGTGAAAAACATGGTTGAAAATAAAAGAAGTAAATATAGAAAGTAAAGGCAAGTGGAAAGAAGGCGAAAAAAACTGAACGAAGAACGAAGTCGCTGTGAAGAAGACATTGAGCCGTTGTCGAAAACAGTAAAGCGTATACGTTTATTCCGTTTTTCTTTTCGTTTCTTTTTGACTTTTCTTCTCGATCTTGTGTATGTATGTGTGTGTATGTGCGTGCGCGTTTTTTTTCTCGTTGGAAATAATAAAGTACGATTATGGTGCACATATACATAAAGTTTGTTTGGAAGACAACTACGTTGAGACTTTGGCATGTGCACGGTGTTGTGAGATATGCGTTGTTGATGCGCGCGCGTATAGTGTATTATGTTCGTTTAATTCAACTTCATATTCTGGAAGATTCTGCAGAAGAGAGAGAGAGAAGGACCAGAAAGAGTAAAAGATAATAAATGAAAGAAAGAGATCGAAAATGGAAAAGTAACTAAAAAGTATTTATGAGAAAGCAAACTAAAACAACAAAGAGAAATCTACTTTTTCGGGTGGTAACGTCACTGCTACTGTTGTTCTACTTGCTCGTACACACATTTGAGTTGAAGACACAGCAAAGAGACCCATCACATGAATGTTTCCTCAAAGACCTATTTGATTTTTGATCTGGTAACTACCGTTTCCTTATTTTGCTTAGCGAAAACTGCTAGCCCAAAGCTGATCCATCAACGTGTTCAACAGCATCATACACACATAACCCGCCCCCTCTCAAAAAACGACTTTGATGCACGACAGACTTCATAACACTTCCGACGAGTAATAGAATTTTTTGCGCTTTGCCATTTTCAGTTTTACTCATATTTTGTCGAGTTCTGTTCAAATATTATTTAAAACATGTGCAGGTTCTTCTTTCACATACATAGATAGCACCTTATTCTCGTGTCATATTATGCGTTCGAAACTACAATTCACATGAATGTCATTCTTTTTTCCGTTATTTCGCTATTCGAGAATGCTTCAACATGCTCATTCTTTGCACTCCGGACATTATTCAACGGCATGGAACAATCTATGTATTTATATTAAATCGTGTTGCAAAGAGACAGAGAGGGAGATAGAGTGTGGGAAAGAAAAAGACAGATTGAACCCAAGTCAATTGCTTATATGCTTGAGCATCGTCAAAACTTTTCGTAAAAGAATCATTTTGGATGAATTTCCGAAAATAAATTGATGCACAAAACAAAGATTAAAAAGTGTCAAGCAAGAGATGAAATCTTATTAAATTTTTCGATACAGCGGGAAAAAGTTTTGTGGCAAAAACTAAAACGTATTAAAGGAAAATCGGTGTTAAAAGCATAAGCGTCTAAACTATCAACTGAAAAGAAAAATCTTTTTACATATTCTAAGTATATTACTAACTAGATTTTTAGCAGTTAAATGAAAAATGATGAGCTTATTCGATTTTGATGCAGGCATAAGTTTTTGAATTTTCTTTTCACTCACAACACATACTATAATTATAAATATAATTAAAATACAGACGCTAGAAGTTGTTAAACATATGCACAGAGTTCATATTGTTGCTAATATTGTTAAATGTCTATCTTATTTCTATGGTATATATTAGAATGCAAATCTTAAGATCAATTTTCATGACAAAAATCAAAACTAAATAAGCTGGAATAGATTGTGTTTAAAAATTGCGATCAACATACCACCGCGGTTTTCAGTGTCCGCTGGCTTAACTTGAATAGGACGGTTCATCTGAAATGAAAAGAACAAAGTTTACCGATTAGTATGATTTTAGGATAACTACAAAGTCTATAGAGCAAAGGCACGTTTCTTTCGATAAAAGCAATTGTAGGGAAATATTTATCAAATGAGTTTCTGTTTTATCCGTTATTCACCGGACGGAAAAATTCCCTCAAATCGATTCGCAAATCATTTGTGTGTGAAAGAATGAGAGTGGTAAAGGTCGAGCACAATTTACGAAAAAGATTTATTTTTATTGAACTATTGCAAAGCGTTAGCTATTGAGCCATAAACCTGAATGAGTAGCACGAGCGTTTGTGATGTGGTGCCAAATGATTGGAAAAAAGTGTCTTGCAACTAATAGTTTATTGGCCAAAATGTGGATGCGAGTTGAATTTAATATGGCAAATTATAACTGGTGGGGCTCCGGTGTAATTCAGACACATTTAATGTGCCGCTACTTTTTTTTCTCTCTTTTCCTATCTTTGTCACTCTCACATTCAATATCGACGCTACTTTTATATCAGGCGATTGCACCATCATACATACATACACACAAACACACAAACCAAAAATCAACGAGAACAAACCGAAAAAAAATCACACATAAAATATCAACTATAATATACTATATAGACTAATATTCATTCAAAAGGCCAATGAAATCCGCACCATATTTTTAAAACAATAAGCGCACGTACAACGTTTCAATACGTGTCATGAATTCAGAGCCAATGTAATGGCCCGCGAAGTGCAAAAAGGAATATCTCAAACGGACGAGAGCGAGAAAGATAGAAACTCACATAACAACATCGTGAATGAAAATCTCATGGAACAATTTATAGATTTGGCCATTAAATTTTTGGTGTCACTGTCATAATTTATTGAATCGATTGTTTTTCTCTTATGTAACAAAAAGTATGCACTGCCATTGCACATGAATTAAGAAAATCAGTCGCGATTCAAACATAAAAATATTTCTCTCACTTTTATTTTTTAAATTATTTTTCCTTCAATCTTATGGTTGCATTGGACCCATCTCAACATTATCAGTTGGCGCACATCAATTAACAGACTAACTTATTCGTGCACAGAAAAAAGTACTGCTTTTTGAATTCCAAAGCAAAATCTTCAAAACGATATTATTTTTATTCCATTTTTTAAAAATATTTTTCTTCGACCACAAACATAGCTCACATAAATTTTAATAAGCAGAAACAAAGGAAAATATCGTAAATGCTATTACTTTACAGTTCCAAAAAAAATTGTATCCAGCCGTGACACTTTGTTTTATTTAGAAAAGTAAATTTCTAATACCATCTCAATCTGAAAAAGCGTTGCTGTGAGAAAAAAAACTGCTGATCATTAAAAATGGAAGAATACAGAAGAAGAGGACTAATATGGTAATGCAGACCCGAAACAACCCCATCACCAAACAGATATTTTTAGCAGGAAAGAACGAATGATAGCGGCTGAATGCTGGAAACGACGATAAATCGCTAGGTTAGAGAGAAGAAAAAAACACACGTAAACACGCGCACACACAAACGAAAGATAAACGCGTATAGAAAAGGGTAGAAGAGGCGCATAAAGTAATTATCTCATCACGTTATATAAAAATATTTTAATTAAAAGAAGGGCTGCGTAACCCATCAGTAAAAGATATAAAAGATTTGATCAACATGCACCAGCATAGAACACGGCTTTTTTTTATCCGACTTATTTTCAGTGATTTAAATATATTTGGTCCGATGAAAATGAGATCCATTCTTATCCACAAAGCAAAAATGTTTATTAAGGGCAAAACCGCACCTCATCGTATTGATTCATAATAATATTTTTGCGTTTTTTTCCAATAAATTATGAATAAGTATGTACGCGTCATGCACGGTGGCATTCAAGTCAAAATAACAGTAAATGCTTGTGTGGTGATAAGACACAGCGCAATGAAGTGTGTTTAGTTAAAAATAAAACGCGGTATTGACATTATTTCCTCGAGTATTTTCGATGAATTTGGAAGAGCGAGAAAAAGGTTCGTCGGCATATATAACGAATCATTATTAACGATATGGTATACGATCCATGTATAAAACCGTTCGTCGCGAATAAGAAATTACACACCAATTTTGATTTCGTTGGTATTTTCTTTGGGTGCGTTCCTTGCTCTTCTTCTCTAACACTCTTCTATCGTTTGCTGTTTGTTTTTTTTTGCGTTCACTTCTTTATTATATGCTTTTTTATGGTGTTTGTCACTAAATGATGCTTTTCGATTGCGTAACCACGGCCATTGCTTGCTTCGTCTTTTCTCAATATTTGCATAAATTTTCTCATTAAACAAGTGCTTTGTGCAGCATTTAGGTCCGATGGTGAACTGTTTCGTGCTCTGGCGGTTCCTTACGCACGTGAAATGTGTGGAACGACGAACGCGAAAACACTAAGTGAGAAAAAAATATGAGAAGTAAGCAAAGAGGGAAAAGTTTCTTTACGTGCCTGTCATCGTCGGTTTGCGCGTCAGCGTGTACATATATTTGATTTTTTTTCCCCTTTGAATGCAAAATAAATTTACCAATTCAGCAAATATTACACAACACATGGCTTCTTTTTCACTCGCCTCGCGTACTCTCAGAACGTGTCGCACCCATTAAAAATATTGCAAATGAAAATAAGATTTTTTTCCCTTTTTGGTTCGCTCAATTTTTTGATTGCTTTTTCTTTGCAAAAAGAAAAATTTTGTTGTTCCTTTTCGCCACAGCCGATATACATTCGGGGTATACACTATACATTTTTTTGAACCAAAGTACGATGATTATAAAAGGTTCATTATTGAATACTATCTTAATTCCACGTGAATTTTGGGTTTCAGCGCAATCCATTATTTTCTATTTGAAGTTGTTGTTTGGTACTGTTACTTTTTTTTGTTTATACATATGTAATTCAAGTGAAATGTAATAGCAATAATAAACACATCGTTCGATAATAACTAATATAAAGTTCATCTAAATTATTTTAAAAAACAGCGATTCTCTTTTTGTGTGTGTTGGAGCCTCAAGCCTTGAGGATGTATGTACTTATTTCCTATACATCTTATTCTTAGATTGACTGGGACCCAGTCACTGGGTTACCCAACTTGGATGATAAATTGTATTTTTTTTTTACATCAGCATACAAGAAAGAGCACGAAAGAAATTGAAAGTGAACTAGACAACAGCCTACGGGCTGATAATGGAATGCCAATTTCATCACATTGATTTTTCAATTTTTACCCCCATCACATTATGCATTTGCTCTTATCACAGCATGCGAATAAATCTTCCCCATTCTTGCGAAGCCGTTGTTATACGAGAGTAAAAGTTTTTTGTAATTCTAATCGCTGGAAAAATTCGTACCTTTTTTATATTTACATTAATTTGATTCGAAGTTAAGTAAAATTTTGCATCTATGATTCAAAGTTATGTTGGATTTGTTGAAAAAAAAGAGATTGGTTTGGTCGAAACTCAATTATTATTTTCAATTTTGAAGTCTGTGTAACACCACCGGATCCGAAATAAATATTTGGCCGATGATTTTGTTGCTGAACCGCACATATGTATATTCAATTCATAAATCCGATTTAATTAAATTTTCTATCTAACAAACATTTTCCAATTATCTATGCCCATGTTAAAGTCATTGCGAACGGCCCATTTTCACGTGTTTTGGCGTTGTGCTTCAAAGGCCGTGAAACGCCATCATGTTTTCCAGTCAATACAAAATACGAATTTACACGTAATTATTTACAATAATTTTCAATTGCTTTTCAACGCTTGGTTGCCATAACATCGATAGCACACGCCTGTCCGTTCATATATTTACCCTTTTTTTTTTTGTGCGAATGTGAACGGGATGTATGGGTGAGCGCACGAGCGCGTCTCGTCGCCAAAATGGTTGGATGTGAATTAGCAAATATTTGGCTAGAGGTGAGAGTGTGGCAGCGAACGGATGAATTCCGAGTCAAACTGAACGGAAATGAGAGAAAGGGAGACAGAGAAAAAAAATGTTCCAAGCGAAATTACCTAATTAGGAAAATACGTTTTCATTCACCGGAACGGCGTGGCAGCTTGATGGGAATTCAATTTTATTTTCTGATTCTAAATTGATTGCAAACACTTTGTGTACATATTTTAACGATGCTCGATTTTAATTATCTGACGATTAATATAGGTACAGTGTTTGAATGTGGCTTGATTGATGCCATAAACCATTTCGATTGTGTGTATTCTATTAAATGAAAAACGAGCACTGGTAAAACATCAAACAAAGAACAGCTATTGGTTGCGATGGTTGCTGCAATAAACATGCAAAGCAAACGTTTTCTCATTTTAGCTCTCATGTTCTTTCTCTCATTTTTTTCCTCGTTCTCCCTTTTGTGAAATTACCAAATCGAATATCACAATTTACTTCGATTGTGTCACATTGATTGCGAAAGGGCGCTAAATGTTCGGCATTTGCAGTGAATTGTTGTTGGCACCACAATGAAAACCAAACCACTCTATTTGGATTTCATTTTCTCTCTTTCTCTATTACTTTCCATCTTCTGCTTATATTTTGCAATTTTTCTCGCGTGCATACCACCAAACGTAAATATGAAATACATAAACGGCAATTTTTCGTGCACCAGACCGAGTACAAAAGCTATAAACAAACCAGAATTCAAAGATGAGAGGAAAAAAAATGTTTTCAATCAAATGAACACATAGGAACAAATGTTCAAATGTTTGTACTCGCAGAAAAATGTATATGTATATGAGTGAATGAAATGGGGAACACACACACACAGAAAGAGAGAGAAAGAAAAAAACCTCGGCAACAAATAAAGAGCGTTACCATTTTAACATTTAAATAAAATAAATGTGAAAGCAAGCGGTGGTGTGAACATTTGTTTTGGAAAAAGTCAAACCAAACAAGAGGAAAAACATTTGTCGGTCCGGCTCCGAGAAAATTGACAAATTAATTCCAAATATGTATTATGTCGC